GGGAGCGCGGCCCCGCACCCCGACCCCCGACCCCGGCCCCGAGCTGTGCGCCGCACGGGGCCGCACGCCAACAGCACGCCTGACAGTGTCACTCCACTGAGAACACAGCACCCACAACTGCAACGTGGGGTTATGCATTGACATGGAGCCACACGCCAACAGCACGCGTGGCAATGTCACGGCACCCACGACTGCATGGGGCCGCGCACTGACAGGCACACGCCAACGGCGCGCATAGCATGGCCATGTCAGCACTGGGAACACGGCCCCCACAGCTATAACACAGGGCCCTGCACTGACAGTCACACACCAACAGCACACGTGGCAACGTCACGCCACTGGGAGCATGGCCCCCACAACTGCAACATGGGCCTGTGCGCCGACATGGAGACACATGCCAACATCATGTGTAGCGATGCCACACCACCGAGAGCAGCACGCCAAGCCAACGCAGAACTGTGCCTATGCACGCAGCTGGCGCCGACACACACCAGGAACACGACCCCTGGGATGGCAGCAAGCAGACACCTGGTGCAGCCTACACACACACACACACACACACACACGCACGCGCGCACCCAGGGAGGCTCAGAGCCTCCTTTGTGGGCAGCTTCCACAAAGGGGCTGGAGGGGGTAGGAACAGCATGTCCTGCACCTCTCTGCTAAGGGTCGGATTAGGCACTCTAACTCCATGATCCTACTCGCTCACGTGCACACATGGGAACGTTTCTCTGCACACGCAGCAGCACAACAAGAACACATGGGGCCGCTGGCAGGAGCCAAGGGCATGTAGGTCTCCTCACTGGGGCAGTGGGAACTACCCCTTGCTGTGACCTGTTTGCTGGCCAGACAGTGCTGAGTCTTGACCCCAGGGCCCCTACAAAGTCCCAGCCCTGAGAGCCCCTCGTCTCACTCATCCCCTTGCCTGTTGCATGGGGGCAGGGCTCAGCTGCGCTGCGGTGCTGTGCTTGGACTGTGCCCAAACCCTGCACCATGGAAGTGGGTGGGAGCTCCCTTGATTCAAGCGGGGGCTGCACATTGCAGGCAGGCAGGGGCTGTCCTGGCCTGGCAGCAGGGCCTGCAGGCTCAGCACAAACCCTCCCTGAGGCATTGGGGAACTTCAGAAACATCTGGATACCTGGGGTGGGGGAAGGGAGCTGCTGATAAGGCGCAGGGCCAGGGCCAGGAGGAGGGAGCCAGATTAAAAAGCCCTTCTTCTCTGCCCTTATCAGCTGCTCCTCTCTCTGGGGATTTGCACCAGCCCCTGACAAACAGAGAGTCCCCCTGCCCCTGCCCCTGCCCCTGCCCCGTTCTCAGTGGGCCTATGGAAGTGAAACTCCAGGCAGGAGAGGCCCTTTCCCACGAGGCTCGCAGGGGACGAGGGGGCCTCGCAGGCAGCTGGGCCCTCAGCACGTCCCGTCTGCAGCGCTGTCTGGCAGGCGCATGGCAGCTCACTATCACCAGGATCTGCCCCCAACACCGATCCATTCTTGTTAAGCCGCACGGAGAGATGCTTCGCCGCGGCGTGGAGAAGTGATAACTCAGCCACGTTTGCAAAACAGCTTTCCCCTTGTTTATTACATAATGATCCATTGATTGTGGGTAATGTTGCATGCCCGACACGGCGCGGGCAGGCAGTGTGCTGGCTGAAGCCAGCCTGGGAGCACTCCCCTGATACGCACCGAGGGCTCAGGAGCACCGCAGAGTCTTGGCACTGCTGCTGTAACTGGAGTGCACCTGGCCCAGGGGCCGGGGCCCTACTTTGCTCCTCTTTTCCTGCCTCTTCATAGCTAGGCCTGGTGCCGGCCCCGACCTGCTGCTTCACCACGAGCAGAATGCAGCCCACAAAGCTGGAGCTAGCTGAGGTAGGGGTCCCTGTATGATGCCCCCAGGGAGGGCAGCTGCCAGCGCCCCAGCTCCAAGCACTGTCAGGGCCTGCTGACACTGACTTGCCTGGGGAAGGGAGGGGGTTGAATGCCCAGTCATGCCCAGCTCTACCCAGCCAATGTCACAGGGATGCCCCTGACCGCTCTGGCATTGCAGCCACCCCCTTCAGTGGATCTGACTCAACCAGCTCGGCCCAGCTTCTTGGGTCCACACAACCTGAACCCACCATTGGGTTGCCCCCCATGCTGTGGCACCCACCCCACTCCCAGAAGGTGATAACAGGATCTGAGCCAGGATTTCATGCTGTACATGCCTGCCTCTGAGCAAAGGTCACGGGAGCCAGAGCAGAGGGTGCAGGGGAGGGGGGACAGCTGGGGTCAGGGGTGCTGGGGTCCTGCCAGCCCCCTGTGACCTGCCAGTGAGGCCTGGGGGCTGCCCTGCACCCCCTGTCCCCGGGATGCTGGACACGTCTCAGTGTAGGCTCAATGACACCTAGGGAGGGGGACACAGTGCTAGGAAGGGTCAATGCCCAGGACACGCTTGGTGATGTGTATGAGGCAAAGGTAAGCCCTTGTGCACCCGTGTTTATGTCTTGCACAAGTGCGTGACAGACTATTTATGGCTTATCAGGATGCAGGGAGCACCTGGGTGCATGGTGATGTCATTGGCTGCTGGGTCCCATGACGGGGGCAAAGGCCGGAGCTGCGTGCAGCCTGGCAGGTACAGGCCCGGGGTGGGGCTCACGTGGGGCGGGACAAAGCCAGAGACGTGCCAGAGGCTCTGCCAGGAGCCAGCCCGGTGTTGCCGCAGGCAGGAGCAAGGACCAGTCCCTTGCCCCACTCCCAGGCAACACAGCTTCCAGCCCCGTGCCACTGCAACTCACCGGTCAGGCCCTGAGCTGTCACTGGTGCTGCCATGGTCCATGCACTCACCTCCCGGTGCAGGTGCTGTGTGCCAGGTCCCTCCACGTCTGCGGGACTTCACAGGCGGCACAACCCTCGGACTCTGGGAGCTGGAGATTCACAAAAAACAGCAGGCAGTGACCTATGGGAGCAGATAACACTGTGTGCAGGGGTGGGGGGTGCAAAGCTGGGGTCAGCAGAGCAGGCCTATGGACTTGCTTGTGCCCCATGCCCAGCCTGCACACATGTACCAGGCCATGGAGCCCAGCTCTAGCTGCTCAAAGCCAAGATGCTGGGCTGGGCCGGGCTGGCTGTGGGGCGGTACCAAGTCCCAGCTGAGCTGCAAAAGGGATTTCTGCATGCACAGCAGCCAAACCTGTAGGCGACCGAGTCAGACCCCCTTGCATGTCCAACCTGGCACCCAGTCCCTGTGTCCAGCCAGGCTGGCACCCCACACGGCCCCGTGGTCAGGGGAGGTACTGCCAGCCAGGGGGACAGACAGATGAGCCGATGGAGTACTTGAGAACACAGCCTCCACCCTCCTGCCACCTGAGATGGACAGAGGGACAGGAGTCCAGGGCCACAGCCTGGCTTGGCGCTGGGCATGGGCCTTGCAACGCTTCCACTCCTGGGGGCTCTGCAGGCCGCAGGGCTGCCCCTGCCATGGGGCTCTCAGGATGTCTTGTGTACAGGGGCAGAGCGGCCTGCAGCTCCAGAGGCAAGAGACCCTTACACCACCTACATCCAGGCTCCAACACCCCCATGGCTCCCCAAGCACTGCCACACCCTGCACCTGGGTGGGATCCATCCAGCCACAGGGGCAGCAGGAGGAACCTGGGAATTGGACCATGCCCCCAGCCTCTGCCAAGCACCAGATTCTTCCTGGGCAGACACCACCCCCTCTCCCCCGCCCGGATCCAGGGGGCAGCTGCACCCGCCCCCTTCCCTCCCCTCCCCCAGCTGCGAGGTTTTGGGCACAAGACCTGTCAGACTGGTTTGCCTTTGCCGTCTCCTCCCGCACCCAGACAAGCCCAGGCCGGCGGGAGGGAGGAAGCCGCCCCTGTGCTGTGCTGTGCTGTGCTGTGCTGCCTGGCAGCCACAGCCACAGCCTGGAGGGCGGCTGGGGCCTGAGCACAGCCCCGGCCCAGCTGCAGCCCCAGTGTCACATCTATGTGTACTGGGCAGCTGTGCCAGGGAGCATGCTGTGTCCTATGAGGGCACGGCTGGAGCTGCAGAAGCGGGCTGCAGGGAGAGGGGCACAGAGCACCACCCAGCCCTGGC